AAGAGACAGAAGGATCTGGATTTGAATCTCCATTCCTACACTCACAGGGCACGGCGCTCACCTCTCTGAGCCTTGAGGATCGTTCTCTGTAAAATGGGCTATCTTGATGGCTACTCCTGTAGGGTGTCCTAAGGTTGAAATGAAGACTGTGCTAACTAATGCTATCCCAAAGGATGTACGGAAACATGGTCTCTTGCCTCTCCCCGTTGCCCCTGCTCTTGTCTGTCCTCCTGGGGGAAGGTGGATGCGTGTCAGGAAGAGGTGGTGAGCTCTGGACAGGGCGAGCTGGGGATGGTCTTTCTGAACAGGTTGCACGTGTGATGCACAAGATGCACAAGCAGAAGCGAGGTCCACTGTCACCCGGCGTGTGAAAGGCCCTGGCCTACCCTGCCAGTCCTGCCCTCCTGCTGCCTGTATCCTCGTCCTTTGGGTCACACTCTCTTGCCCATGTCTGCATTTTTACTTTGCTATTTCCTGCCACCCTTCGGGGAGGGCTTGCACTGTGTCTGAGGGGAAAATGAGGTGCCCGTCAACTCCCCGTTGCATAGGACTAGGGCCCAGCAGCTGGACTTTCTTGTCACTGTTTTGTCCCCATAGGCCTCCTGCTCTGGGAGCACCTTGGCTTCTCCTCTCTCCACACCCCTGCCCAACCTTCATTCCAGCCTCTCAAGTTTGCCCATGGGGTGACCCTGTAGAGCAGCCCAGCAAACCCTGTCCTGGAGCTTGTGTGCGCACAGAGGGGGCCTCTTGGGTGGCTTTTGCAGAGGGGGGAGGGGATGTGGTTTCCACCAGATGCTCACCTTTCCTTTCTGTGCTGGTCATGGGCTGGGACAAGAAGAAGACAAGGAGCTGTGCAGGTGGCAGCATGTGACCTTGGATGACACACCATTGGCTTAGAAACTGCCCTTGGGACCACAGTTTCTTGCATCCTCTCTCTATTCAGTATCACACACCCCTGGCCTGCTTCTCTGTAGCTGCCCGCCCCCTCACCCAGGGCCCACAGGCCCACCTTCTCCCCACCCTTCTCAGCCCTTAGCCTATGCCCCCTCATCAGTTTGGTGTCCCCCTCTTCTCTCACGTAGCCCAGTGCTCAGCCCACCCTTATGAGACAATGCATCTAAATTTTGGCAGGAATCTCTGCGGGCAAAATGCACCAGTGACAGGAAACTTAGTCTGCGGGGCACCTGGGAACTTTGTCAGGTGGTGACGATGAGACTCATTGCACTTACAAATCAGAGTAAGAGGACCTGGGGAAGACGTGGGGCTCTGGTGTCCACTTCAGACTGTTCCCTTCCTTAGCCAGGCGGAGGGGAGACCCCCAGGCCCGGAACAGCAGCAGACCTGCGCTCATAAGGCTGTCGGACTACCTTCTGGCCAACTACGAGAAGGGCGTGCGGCCTGTGCGTGACTGGAGGAAGCCAACCACCGTCTCCATTGATGTCATGGTCTATGCCATACTCAACGTGGTGAGCACTCAGCCCCACTCCCGTATACACACCCTGCTCAGAGGCGTACCTTGGTGGGTGGGAGAAGGCCAGTGAGCGAGTGATGTCCCCACCCTGGGCAGCACACTGGGCATGCACAAAGCACCCCCCAGCACTGGCCTGGCACCATGGCTGAGGGTAGATTGTGGTCCTACCTGCACAGCTGCCCAAACTAGAGGGCTGAGGCCACCTGTTGGCTGTACGGCCACTGCAGCCCATGGCCACCTCCTCACGTGGCTCTCTACACATGGCACAGTAGTGACCACCTCATATGTGGGTTGTGTGGACCGTCCGACCCATCTCGGTGCCCTTAGTGCTCACGAAGCTCCCTGGTACATGGCAGGTGTCATGAAATGGTTGTTGAGTCAACCAAGCGATCAATTAGTCAATTTCTCCACCAATTATAGTAGGAAATACTGCCCAGGAAAGGTCAGACATCGTGTGGGGTAAACATGAAGGGATTGCAGAGACACAAGGGTAGGGTGGATGGGATCTGGTCGCCGTCTCTACCGCAGTTAACATACCCACCTTGCTGTGGGGGAATCACTGTGCTTAGACCATCCCTGGAAAAGCCACGATGAGGTTACTGAGGTGCTTTGCGAAGAGCAAGTGGGAATTGGATAGGAGGAGGAAAGGGGATTGTGGCGTGGCCATCACCCCCACACACACACACAGGTGATTTCTTGTTTTCTGTCTCTCTGTCTCTCTGTCTCTCTAGCAAGTGCACATGCCCTATAGCAAAAATCTGTCTCTCAAAAAAAAAAAAAAAAAAAGAGTATTATACTAAAAGACCATTTCTTCCTGGTTAGCTGGGAGCTCCAGCCCCACTCCCCCGGCCCTTTTCTTCACGTTCAACCTCAAGGGGACAGAGGTGCAATGGAGCAGGATTTCCCCCAACCCACAGGTTCCCTCTTCTCCCCCAGGATGAGAAGAACCAGGTACTGACCACCTACATCTGGTACCGGCAGGGGAGCAGACCAGCCCCTCAGCCACCACAATTCCCTGGATGGGGCTTGTCCTCGCCGTAAGGACCTCTCCCTGGAGGAGTCACGAGTGGCTGTGGCCCTGGGGAGGGAAGGTGAGGGAGAAGGTCAGGGCTGCTCTGAGTGTGGGATCTGAGACTCGGGACTGGGGATGGGAGAATCTAAAGGCTCAGGGAAGGAGAATGCTCCAGCCCCTTGGGGCTGAGGTCCTCCCGGCATCCCACCCCAGTGCTTATCCTGTGTCTGCTGAAGGAATACGTCCAGTGCCTGGGAACTCGCAAGGCAGCCCCTTCACTTCCCAACAGCTCTAATTGCTAGAAAGTTCTTCTATTTGTCTTCTACTAAGACAAATTGGACCACCAACCTGGGCAGTTGAACAGGGTGACTGCATCCAGGTAGCATTCACGTACTTGGCTGCTTCCCCACTCTTCCAGGTCCTGATGAGCATGGGTCAGGCCTGGTGTGTGGCCATCTCTGAGGCCCTGGCAGGAGTTCTGGCTTCCAGGTGGTTAGAGACGGGAGGCCGAAACCCTGCTCTGGCAGCCCTAGGGTCTGAGCAGAAGGGGAGATGGAGGTAGCTGAAGAGAGGGGACAGGAGGATGAGGATGACTCACAGGGGTCAAGTCCCAAAGGGGCTTTGGGGGTACACCTGGCCTATGGGGGTCTCCATTAGACCCCTCCTCACTGCTCATGGCTCACTGCCACCACCGCTGGCTCCTGGGGCAGGGAGCATGTGGAGGAAGCCAGATCTGGATTCCTGAGATACGATACTGCTGTTTGTGCCCCGCAGAGGCATCCTTCAATACAGAGCACACCCTGCCTCCAGGGAAGGGACCCAGACAGGAACGTTGCCCCGGGTCACCTGGCCTAGGTCTCACCTCTGGACCTCTGGGGTCCCTTGTCTGCTCCAGTGCTTGTAGCGAGCAGGCAGGGCGTGTCAGTCTGCTGTGTACCAGCGACTGTGACAAGGGACTGGATTAGAGACATAGGTGGGCTCCACCCACAGTGAGCTCACAAACCAGTGGAAGCCATGACATGGAGACAAAGCTCTGAAATGCCACCAGATGGCCACCCCAAGGAGGCAAGGGCAGGATACTAGCTGCAGAAGCACAAAGGCAATACATACTACTGGCCTGGGCATGGCGGTCTTGGAAGGTGCCCTGGACAAGGGCGCGGCAGATCTGTGGCTACCCCTGGAAGAAAGAGCAGAGACTGACCTTAGTAAAGGAGGCAGGGCCTGCAGCACACAAGGAGCAGGTATGCAGAGATGTGGAGATTTCCGTACCGTTCCCTCCTACCTGGCTGGGACCCGGCATTCACAGAAAGGCATGGCCAGAAAGTGAGGCCAGAGAGGCAGAGGGGGACCTTGGTTGGCCATCAGGTTTAACTTTTTCCTAAGGGCAATGGCGACGCTTAAGCAAGGGGATGACACGGACTGGCCATTCTGGCATGAGAGCAGGGACTGCCCTGATCAAAACTGAACAATACTCATCTCTGGCCTACGAGTGAGTGTTATTATCCCCCTGAGCAGAGGGACACACGCAGACCAGAAAGGCATTACATACCCACGATCCCGCAGTTGGTGGACAGGGGACTGGCGATGTTAGGATGACAGAAGTCTTCGCTGCGCGAGGCTGCATCTGTTAGTTGAGGGAGAACACCGGTGCAGGTGCAGGGGCACCTTCAGTTACTGCCAAGTGATTGGGTGCTACCGACACCCAGATTTCCCACGATGCCCGCGGTAGCCTGGGCACTGAGGGTGCCACGTTCCTGCGTCACAGACGATCCCCGCCTTCTGTCACTATCGCTGCTTTCCTCTAGTACTGGACTGACGAGTTTCTCCAGTGGAACCCCAAGGACTTTGACAACATCACCAAGTTGTCCATCCCCACGGACAGCATCTGGGTCCCCGACATTCTCATCAACGAGTTGTGAGTACTGTTGTCTGATGCCGAATGGCCGGGTGAATTAAGGGCTGGAGAATTCGGGGGGGCTGGGAGACAGGATTGCCGCCATTGCCTCTGAGATGCCCACCTGGGTTTGCAGACTGTAGGTGGTGTTGGCTTCAGCCCAGACTTCCCTGTCTTTCTTTTCCTTTCCTTTTAAAAACGTTTTCTTTTTCTGGGTCAAGGTTACAACTTGGTGACTCTTAGTCCTAAGGCTGCCATCGTGAATTCCATTGAGTTAAAATAGCTTAATGTGAGACAGCTGCACTCCCCCCCCCCTTTTAAAAAATTGGCTTTAGGGTTCATGTGCTTGCTGGAGAGAGACAGAGAGAGGGAAAGTGAGCAAGCGCACTCCGGCGGGGATGGCTTTGTTGTAATCCTCTCTCCTCCATTCTCCTCTTGGGGTTCTGGGCATGCACATGGGCCCAGCATGTTTTCCAAGATGCTGGTTTCAGACCCGAACAGTGCAGTTGGCCATGCTGGATGGGACCCTGCCATCCTAACTGCAATGCCACTGGCTGGCCCCAGCTGCACTTGTAAGAGGGAAAGTAATATTACTGAAAGGAATGGGACACCAATGGTGGCCACCGCTCCTGATCACAGGGGAGATTCGGAACATGAGTCAGATGCACCCTCAGTACAAAGAAGGTCCCCCCAGCTTTTATTCCCAGCAGCCACCATGGTCCTATTTGGCCCCAGCCAACACATCTCCCTATTCTTCAGGTTCCTTCAGGCTCCACTGACTGGGCTTCTGGACTCAAGGGTGGGGAAGATAGATGGAAAGGGGAAGGTGACAGGTGGGACCACTTGCTGTCCACCCAGTATCCACTGCCTTGTCCAACTCCAGAGGGTGCCACGGACGTTTTCCCAAGGGGGGGCAGTTGACCTCGGATTCCTCCTCCAAATTCCTTGCACAGCTCAGGCCAGAGGGGTCTGGGAAATCCCAGTTTCTGGTTGAATCTCTGTTTGAGTGATTAAGTAGCCTTCTCAGCCTGATCCCACAGAGAGCAGGCTCAGGACTCTGGCTCAGCCCGCTGCATGCCAGAGGAGGGCTGCCAAGGCTGGGATCCTCCAAGAGAAGTGGGACGAGGTCTTGCAGGACTGTCCTGGCTTCCCACAGCCACAATTTCTCTAGTTCCTTTTTATTTTGGAGATAATGATGATCATTTCCAAGGATGTCTAGAGATGGGGAACAGAGGCCTGTCCTGCCCCCGCCTCCTCCCGGAATGCCTTCTCTACTGAGTTGCTCAGAGATCTTCAGACTCCCAGGGCTCAGCTGGCCTCTTGAGCTCCCAGGCTGAATGAACCCTCTTCCCTGGCCAGTGTGGACGTGGGGAAGTCTCCGAATATCCCGTATGTGTATGTTCGGCATCATGGCGAGGTTCAGAACTACAAGCCCCTCCAGGTGGTGACCGCCTGCAGCCTGGACATCTACAACTTCCCCTTCGATGTACAGAACTGCTCGCTGACCTTCACCAGCTGGCTGCACACCAGTGAGTCTGCACGTGGGGAGAGGGCGGGGTGGAGGGTGGAGCCCCAGGGACACAGCAGGGACGACCCCTGAGGATGCGATTCCTCTTACCCACCGACTGCCCCCTTTATTTTCTTAGTGTCATCGACCTTCTGCCCCTTCTTCCTCTAAATGGGTCCAATCTTGTCACCCTCGCTACCTCTCTCTGTTGTAAAAAATTAATGCAACCGTGTGAACTGATCGCAAGACACTCAGTAAGGGATGGGTCTCCTCCGACATGACAGGTCAGGATCTGGCACCAAATATCTCAGATCCACCCATGCTTCCTCACCCTCCATCTAAGCCACCCTCGTGGCCGGCCCAGGTTTTGGCGTTCGCCTCCTCCCTGGTGTCGCTTTCATTCTGTTCCCCTTCAATGTGGGCTCTTCACATGGCGATATCATGAAAATGCAGATCTGCTCCTGTGACGTCAAAGTCAATGGCTTCCCTTAGCCCCTGACCTGACCCTGCCCACGGCCGCCTGTCAGCTCCGCTCACACGCCCCTGAGCTCTGCTCGGCCCTGTCGCCGTCCTCTCTAGGCGCCTCTGTTCCAGGCAGCTTCCTCTCCTGGGTTACCGTCCCTTCTATCCCCCACCCTGCATTCTCCCAACCCGCAACCACACCTAAGCCTGGTAGCACCTCTGCTCACACTTCTTTCTTCTTTAAAGTTCTCTTATTTATTTCTCCCATGAGTCAGAGAGACAGCACTCCCAATGGGCCTTAACCCCACAATCCACCCCAGCCTCACGCAGCATTCCGATCGCCTTAATAACTGTTTTTCTCTGGCTGTATTGTGAAAATACAACATACGACGCATCGAATATAGAAAATAAGTGTTAACTGTTGGTTTGCGTTATCAGTAAGGCTTGCAGTCAACAGCAGGCCATTAGTAGTTAAGTTTGGGGGGCAGTCAAAAGTTAGACATGAATTTCCCACTGGGTGGGGACTCGGTGCCCTTGACCCTCAGGTTGTCCAGGGTCTACTGTATGTTGTCCACACAGCTCTGTACTGCTACTTGATTCTTCTTCCTCAGTGGTAGGTCTCAGACATTTTCTTTTCTGGCACATACTTCTCTAGCACGACACAGCGAATGGGAGCTGCTCTGTAAGGGAGGGTTTTGCTCACCTTTAAAGACAGCTGAGTTCCCACTTCCATCAAGGCAAGGGGGAAGAATGTTGACTTCTGTTTATTCTCCAAATGGGTAATTCTACCTGGGAAACCTATAAAGGTGTTAACGTGTGTGTGTGTGTGTGTGCATGCGCGTGCATGCACATGGTGCACGTGTTGCGTTTGGTTCTGTGCGAATGGTTAACGGATGGTGTGGTTCTGTGCAGTGCGTTGAGTGTTTTCGTTCAAGTCTTCCTGCGCTGTGTGTGAGGAGTACAACAGATCATCTTGTCTCATGGGCTGAGGCCACTGAGGCTCATGTCTAGACCCGAGGCTCGAGGTCAAGCGTCTCAGCAGAACCCTGTGGTTGTGCCCTCCCCGAGTTCCACCAGCATGGGGCCTGGCTGGCTCCAGCACTACATTCCAAAGCTGGCTTCATTTCTTCCCTCTCAGTCCAGGACATCAACATCTCCCTGTGGCGTTTGCCAGAAAAGGTGAAGTTTGACAAGAGCGTCTTCATGAACCAGGGCGAGTGGGAGCTGCTGGGGGTGCTGACCCAGTTCCGGGAGTTCAGCATCGAAAGCAGCAACCACTATGCAGAAATGAAGTTCTATGTGAGTGGGGGCAGACACAGTAATGGGGATCCAAACCACTAGACCCTCTCCCAACTCCAGGGCCACGTGCTCTCCTGTAACAACAAAGTAGTGGAAATGCTCAACGGAATTGCCTCTTACTTACCCCGCACAGTCCCAGCCTGGGTTCCGAGGCAGGAGATGGGGTCTGCTCCTTTCCTTCTCTGAGCCTCCCTGGCTGGAAGCTCCATGAAGCAAGAAGGGCTCTGGGATGGGGTGAGGGGTGCCTCTAGTTACAGACCTGCCCAGCTTCCCAGCTGCTCCTCTCCCGGCCCAGGTGGTCATCCGCCGGCGGCCCCTGTTCTATGCCGTCAGCCTGCTGCTGCCCAGTATCTTCCTCATGGTCATGGACATCGTGGGCTTCTACCTGCCCCCGGACAGCGGCGAGAGGGTCTCCTTCAAGATCACCCTCCTCCTGGGCTACTCGGTCTTCCTGATCATCGTGTCCGACACGCTGCCAGCCACTGCCATCGGCACTCCCCTCATCGGTAAGACCTCCTGGGGATGAGCTCATCCCCAAGAGGAACTGGCCCCCTCTCACCTCCTGTGTGTTGTTCTCCACCCCTGCCGCGGCACGCAGGTGTCTACTTCGTGGTGTGCATGGCTCTGCTGGTGATCAGCTTGGCCGAGACCATCCTCATCGTGCGGCTGGTGCACAAGCAAGACCTGCAGCAGCCCGTGCCCGCCTGGCTGCGGCGCTTGGTTCTAGAGCAACTCTCCTGGCTGCTTTGTCTTGGCGAGCAGCCAACCTCCCATAGGCCCCCGGCCAACTCCCAAGCCACCAAGACTGATGACTGCTCAGGTGAGAAAGGAAAAGGGCCACTTCTGACTTGAATGCAGGGACGTGGTGGAAGGTCTCTGGAGGGTGTGGCACGTGAGGGAACCTGGGTGGGGCCTGGGAATTGGGTGCTGTCCGGTACAAGGCACCCCACACTACCCTTCCTGGCTGGTGTCAATCCAGGCCCTGTGTTAATTTTCACAGCCTCTCACCAATGCAGGTGTGGACAGACGGGCAGGAGTCCAGAGGCTGAGAATAGCCTCTCTCTGAGACGGCCCGCTAGTGAGGCCACCTGGGTGCCCCTCAGACAGTTATTGGCCTCCTGGCCTAACGGTTAAGTACTGCAGCTGGGCTTTCTAAAATCCATCCTAACAGTCTGAAGACCAGCTCCCTTTGGGTTGTAAGCATCTGGGAGGGGGAGAGACAGGGCTTCCGAGGCCCCACTGTGGGCTCGCACGGCCCTCTGTCGGTGTTGCTGGGGGCTGGTTAGCTGATTTGCTTTGGGGCACTTTATGTTAGGGCATGTACAAAGCACTGCCCATACTTCGTCACATGTAACCCTCGAGGCAACACGGGAGGATCCTCACTCTCATTTTTCAAAGGAGGAAACAGAGATAGAGAGAGGTTGAGGAGCTTGCCCTAAATCACAGAGCCAGGGACTGGTGGGACCAAGATTTGAACTCAGGCCTGTCTGACTCTAAACTTGTGTTATTTTCTTTCTTTCTTTCTTAAGAGAGATTTTTGCTATAGAGCGCATGTGCTTGCCAGAGAGGCAGAGAGACGGAAAGTGAGAAACTCCCCCCAGAGAGGATGGCCATGCCACAATCCCTTCTCCTCCATTCTCCTCTTGGAATTTTGGGCATGCATGCACACATGCCCGATATGAGTTTTAAGCCTCCGACTCTAGGACTTGAACCGTGGTCAACTATGTGGGAGTTCAGCGAAACAACCATTTTGCCATCTGCTAGCTCCTAAACCTGTGTTTAAATCATCTCTCTCCACTCCTCTGTTTAGTCCTTTCTTTTGGTTAGGCCACATCTCGCACGTGAGGCTTCTTATTCACCTAAGGCCATCTCATTGCAAGCTAGTGAACTGTTCCCACCTAATGTCTGACTTCACTGGGGAGGGCAGCCCTGTTGGAAGGTGCAGCTGCTGGTCCAGGAGGACTTGCATTCATGGGGAGGAGGGCAGCGGCCTCAGGTCCACTTCCCCAGTCTGAGGCAGGATGACATAGAAGACTGCAGAGAGCTGGGAGTCCAGCCACCCAGGCCTCCGTGGTTCCACCATTCAGGGATGACCCTGCTATGTGACCGCAGGCTGGCACTTAGACTCTGATTCAGCACCTTTATATAACAAGTGACATGGGGGGCCAGCAGGTGACAGTGACAAAGATGCTGGCTGCCACATAGCTGACCATGGCTTGGGTCTCGGATCTGGTGACTTAAAAATCACAACGGGCCCATGCACGTGAGTGCTCAAAATCCTGGGGGGAGAATGGAGGAGAAGGAGAATTGCCCCCGGTGGGTGATTTCTCACTTTCCCTTTCTCTGTCAGTCTCTGGTCTCTCTCTCTGCTGAGCACATGCACTCTACAGCAAAAACATTTAGGAACAAGGAAAGGAAATCTGTGCAGCCGCTATGACTCAGTGATAGCTTGAGTGCCCTGCGAGGCTGGAGGTCACATAGCCGACTGTGGGTTTGAATCCCTGGGTTGGCTTTAAAAATGCACCAGGCGCCCAGGTTTCTGAGGAGCTAGAGGGCTGGGGAGGGGGATCCTGGTGTGATGAGACCCTGTCCAGGGTGCTTCTCTGTCTATCTTTCCTCCATTCATGCAGAGGTACTCTCTATGATTAAAAAAAGAGAAAAGGATAGAAAAGAAAAAGCCAGGACAGGGACCAGCAGTCAGCGTAATGGCTATGTCGCTGGACTCCCACATAGTCGACCGCGGTTCATGTCCCGGACCCAGTGGCTTAAACTCACGCCAAGCGTGTGTGCGTGCGTGCCCAAGATCCCAAGAGGAGAATGGAGGAGAAGGGATTGCAGTGTGACCATCCCCCCTGGAGGGGGATGTCTTTCTGTCTCTCTCTCTGTCTGGCCAGTGCACACGCCCTATGGCAAAAACCTTTAAAAAAAAAAAAAAGAAAAGAAAAAGCCAGGACAGTACTCACTCCCGCCCTGCCTCTCTTGTGGGACTATTGTGAGGCCCAAATGAAATACTAGCTCTCAGATGGCTGGGGAGGCTCATCGCCGTCCAAACCACACGGGAAGGATAAACACGGATCCCGTGACACCACTGATCTGGGGACGAGGAGCAGGATGTGACTAAGCAGAGCTGTACAGCAACCCTCTCTGGACTTTTGTGTCTGCAATTGTTTGCAATAGAAAATCCTACAGGTGGGACCGTAGATGACGTAGTGGTTACGTTGCTAGATCCCCACATAGTTGACCTGGTTCAAGTCCCGGACCCAGTGGCTTAAGATTCAAGCCGGGCACATGTGCGTGCCCAAAATCCCAAGAAGAGAATGGAGGAGAAGGGATTGTGACATGGTCAATCCTCTGAGGGGGGTGATCTCTCACTTTTTGTCTGTCATTTCTCTGGTGAGCGTATGTGCCCTATAGCAAAAATTTCTTTTAAAAAAAAAAGAAAAGAAAATCTTGCAGGCTACAGAACCGTATGGGATGATGCCAAACCACCACTGGTCT